CAGCCCCTACCCCTACTGCTGCCCCAGCCCCTGTCCCTGTCCCTGTCCCTGCCCTTGCCCCTGCCCCTGCCCCGGCTATTTCGGATGTTTGCTCTGGGTTGTTGCTCTCGGGTTTGAGCCCATCCCTGGGTTTGTCAGAGAACGCAGCCTTGCCGTCATGCCCGCCCCTGCACACGTGTTCAGAGCTGCAAACGCCGTCGGGCTCCGGCCTGGCCATGCAAAGTGGAAGAGCCGCAAGAGGAGTTGATACAAGAGGCTGGAGACAACCTCAACTGGGGCTTGAGCCCTGGCCTCTGGGGTGGTCAGCGTGGGAGAGCGTGCTGTGCTCCTGCTCTCTCCCATCAAGCCAGCCGTTGGGGATTTGAGAAACTTTTCACAGTTTCTTTTTATTTTTTTCCCCTGCAGCTGATGTGTTCCTTTAAGAAAAGTCTCCGGGATGTGGGGTACAGCGGGGAGAGACAGATTCACCTGGGTGTCCCTGACCGATTCCCATCCAAATTGCCCGTTTATGAATTTGCAGAATGCACAAAATGTACCGAAATGCTGAATTCTTCCCTCTGGTGCTTTCAGATGCACAGCTGCCTATTGCAATTACCCCAGTATCTCCTTTCTGCACCGAACTTTCACGCTCCCCAAACATTCCCCACTGGCTGCAGCCCTATCCTTCCGTTCCAAGGTGAGATGCATGGAGAAGCAGCTCAGCGAAGCGCGCTTCACCCCCCAGCGACCAGGAACACGGCTCTGGCAGCTCGGGAAATTACTGCTGAAAGTGAGCCGCCGTCCAAATTGATGAGAGCAGGAGCCGCGCGCGAAGGAGAAGGTCAGGGCTTGCTTTGATGTAACGGTCATAGCTGTATGTTAGTGGAAACTTTTGTGCACCTTCATATCAGAAACAGAAAATAAAAAAAAAAAAAAGAAGACATTTTGGTGTGGTTTTCTGCCCAAACGCTCTTCTTCAAGATGTTCTTCCAGGCACGCTCCCAAGGTGTGCATTCTCATTTATCCATCGCTGAAAGCCCAGGAGAAGTTCGGTTGATTCCTTGCTTTCCCTCAATGCAAACGGCATCTTGCCTTCATGAAATAGCTCTTTCCAAGCATGCCCAAGGTGGTAACATCAGCTAGCCTTGGCCTTCGCTCCCCACAGCCCACGCAAGAGCAGAACCGTGCCGACAGCCAAGTGTGATGGGCAAGTGGCCCTAAACGTGGGTTGGGGCTTTTTCCTCCTGGATGGGACACGTGATGGGGACCCGTTTGGCCCCATCATCTTCCAAAGTTGGCACAAGGTGTGCAGGATGAGCTTCTTGGCTAACTAAACACATGCTAGGTGATCCTCCTGCTTGCCTGCCCTGATCACCGACGAACCCAAAGCCAATGGAGGCAAGAGCAGCGATGGGATCCGTAGGCCAGGCCTAAATAATAATAATAAAGAGCCATCTTCTTTCTATTTCAAGGGTTGTATGTTACTTATAAATTCTGGAAGCTCTCCAAGTCTGGGTGACGCTAGAGAAAAATGGCTTAATAATCATTAAAAGGATCATTTTCCCCAAGGAGAGTGGATTTTAAATGGCACAAATGCCAACGGCTTTGGGTTTTATTATTGCTTTAGGAGTTCAGAGTCGAAGGCTTATCATCATGATAATAGCCTATGACTAAAGACCATTTGTGAGATGAACATGCCCAGAAATAATAGCATGAAGTTGCAGCCTCTTCACATTCGGGGCTGGCGTTTGATTCTCCACCAGGCTCTGGCTCCTTATGAAAGCTGCCAATCTCCGGCTTGGCATTCAGCGCTAAGTGTGAGACAGCCCACCGGCAGGAAAAAGGCTTTAAACAATGTTGCTATGGATATAAATGATGGAGCTATTGGTTGCGGTTATTTTTAGTACCCTGGTGCCAATTTATTTGTGCAGTCCTGGCTGCTGGCACAAAAGAGAAGGCAGCTTGCTGACTCGGGAGCCTTGGAGGAGTGAAAGGATGGCCTCGACTTCTCCAGCCTGCTTGAGTCTATCTGAACCTTTCCTCCCAAGCAACGTTGGCAATGGTTTGGCAGGAGAATTTGGTTTAACTCCTCTCTTCCTGGGCTGGCTCGCGCTGCCTGCTATTGCAAGGGATCATCCCAAGGTCCCCATTCTCAAGGCATGCTCGGTGAGGGTCTCCATGGATGCCACCATGATGTTCTCCTGCCCAAGCACTGCGTCAAGCCAGCCCCTCCTGTGCTCCCCAGCTCTCCTGCAGCCTTGCCTTGCTTGTTGGGGTGAATCCCAGGCAAATTAAACCCTGAATTAGCCACCCGGGGCTGGCCAGCCCTTCTAACAAACCTTTTCTCGCAGAGCAAGAAGGGCAGGGGTGGTGGTCCCTGCCCAGCAGCCTCTGCTGAGCCCGGATGATGTGTTGATCCTGCTGTGGAGGTGATCTTGGGGTGCTTCTCCTAGTGGGGTGGGAGCTTCAGCCAGGCTTGTGTGCAGCCGGGAGCATCGCGAGGCTTTGGCTCATGCGGGGGCTGTAAATCCGACTGCTGCTGATTTACGGTGGCACCAACAGTTCCTCGCTTCCTTCTTGCCTCTGCTGCTCCGGCCCTGCCAAACGCTGCTCATTTGCATAATCCTCCTTCCCATTAACGAGACTCTGAATCCTATCTGCTTCCTTTCAGGCTGGTGGCCTCATGCTCTGGCTGGGCACGGGCTGCCAGCCCCTCTCTGCACACGCAGACGAGGCTGCCGGTGGGGAGGGCGGCGAGACCCGCTGGCAGCGGGGGCAGGAGGATGCTCTCCCACCCCAGCATCGGCCTGCCGCAATTTCTGACTGGTTTGGGAGCGGATGGGCTGCTGCAGGCAGGATTGCAGGCTGAGCCGGATGAAGATCCCTCAGTCGGGGTCCCCGTCCTTTCGGTGGGCTGGATCAAGCCCCTTCGAAGCCCGCACGCACCGATCAGTCTGTGCCACTAGCCCGGAACAGCCCCTTCTAAATGCCTAATTTCCCTGTGACGAATCCCAGCCCACGGAAAAAGGCACCCAGTGATACCAAGACAATTGTCTCACCCTCTGGATTTAAAATCACTTGAAAATACGAAGCGTTCGACTTCCCTCTCAAATTACAGCGGAAAAGACTTTCAGCGGCATTCATTAGCTGGATTAGACACAGCGTGCCGTGCTCCCGGAGCCGCAGCGCCGCGCCGGCCATCACCTGCGCCTGGAGGTGCGGGATTCTCCCTTGCTGCAGGGTCCAACGCGATGGCGTGTCCCAACGCTGTCACCTTGGGGTGGCACCAAAGCCCAGCAGTGGGTCTCCCAGCAGCACGTCCTAGCGGGATGGGATGCTGCCAGCTCCCAGGCGATACCCAAAGCCCAGCGGTGAACCTCACGGATTCCATTTGCTCCCCTGTCAGAGGCGAAAAGCTCAGGGGTGGCGTAAGCTTTAAAGCTCTCGAGAGCAGCTTTCCCACGCCACGTGCTCCGGGCGGCCCCCAGCCCGCCGAGCCCTTTGCTCGGCACCCAAGGCCGCCGCGTGCCTGGTAGGTGTCAGGCAAGGAGCAGGTTCTTTGTTTGCGCTAATTTGTTGCTTTGTTTTCCGCCAGCTAGTTTAATTGTAATTAAAACCCAGCGGCTGCAGGGGAAGGAGCATGCAGGCGCCGAGGAGCTGAGTCGGAGGCAAGGGAGGGGTTGGTTTTCAGTCCCCTGCTGCGTTGCCCTTGGCTCCCCTTTCCAGCATTATCTGCACTGAAAATTAACGCTTGCCTGTGCTGCTTCCCCGCTTATTTTCGTCTCTTTGTGACACTGAGCGGGGACTGAAGCTTGCCAGTTTGTCACCCAGGTGAGAGGCAATGCAGAATTCATTCTCTATTTATACCATTTGCAGCCTGCCTGGCTCTCTCCCTTCCATATTTAGGCTGAAATTCATTATCGGCTGCTGCGGGGTCCTGGCCAGGTCATCGGTAAACTCCAGGGCTCTGGAGTGCTTCCCAGCTCCCGGGCATGGGTGAGGGCCCGGGCTGCATCCTGACACCGTGCTGGGTGAGCCCCGAGCAGCCCTGGAGGAGCTGAGCAGCAGCGCTGCCTCACGCAGGTATCCTCACGTGGGCTCTCGGAGAGTGATTAGGCTGCTGGTCTCGGATCCAGGCTCAATTCCCAGCTCTCCGGCTGTACAACTGAGACAACAGTGCTCTCCGACCTTGCAAGGGTTTTGCAAGATAAATCTATTAAAGATTTAAAGACACCAGCTCCCAACTACTCAATAAACCCCTGTTGATAATAAGGAACCACGCAGGTCTTAGATAATATTGGTGTGTTTGTGTTTTTTTTTGCTTTAACCCACGCATCGCCAGGCAAACGAATGCAAAATCCTCATTCCCTTGTATCGCCCGAAGGGCAGGATCCAGCTGTGGGTGGGATTTGCTCTGTAAGCAAACATCCGAGGGGATAATTTGGCAACGCAAGCCGTCAGAGCCACAGGAGCAAAGCAATGAGACGGCGGGATAGAGCAGCGATAGGAAAGCAAGAGGTACCGTTGACGGTGAGCGTCACCTCCCGTTCCCCCGCGCCGACCCGCGGGACCACGGCTCGGCACACGTATTTCCCAGCGTCTTCCTGGCGGACGGACTTCAGCGTCAGCTTGTTCTCGTTGCTCAGGACCTGGAAGAGAGGAGGGGGTGGCTTTCAGGGGGGGGCGATGAGAAGCTGAACAGGAGCCGTGCGTTACGAGCTCCGCAGCAGCCTGGAGAGAACAAAGTGGATGAGCCCAAAGTCTTACATGGCATGGAAACACCACTTCTTGCTGTTGACCAGGGAATAAAGAAATGACACATTTTTGGGGGGGAAATCTAAGTCCTGTTGGTGGGAGATCGACCTGGAGAGCTGGGAACCGGGTCTGGATAGCTGGGGAAATCTCAGCTGCTTTTGGGAAGCCCTCCCCACAGACCGGCTGCACCGTGGCTCTCAGCCACGCTGCCCTCCTGCCCCGGCGGTGCAATTAGCAGCTTTATTAAACCTTGAAAATTGCTGCAGCAGCGGGATGGGGCTGAGGCTGTCAGCAGAATCCCAGCACTGGTGGCATTTAAAAAGACGTGGTGGGTCTAAACCAAGTACCGGCTTTCGGAGCGGTGCGTTTCGGTGCTGGCTGCGCGTGCCTGGGGGTAATTCCTCCCTTGCCTCCCTCCCCCAGGCCCTCGCAGGCTGGGCCCAGCCCATCGCCTCTCCTCCTTCCAGCACCCGCTTGCTCCATGAGCCCCGGGTTGCTGCTCCCGCAGCCGATGCCTCTGGGAATTCGTGCTGATGGTTTGCAAAGCCCACGGTGCCCTGAGCAGTGGTTCCATATGGATCTGGGTCTCCCTGTAGCAAGAATATGGGGGTCTCACCCCTAACCTGGCAGGAGGCAGAGGCACAGGGTTTCAAATCCCTTTTAAACCCATTCTTTTAGCACTGATTACGAAGATTTCCATGCAAATGCCTGTGCTTACTTGGCCTCATCTCCTCTCTTCTCTCTCTGATTTGTTTCCTTCTGGCAAAGCAGGAGGAAAGAAGGCAATTTTTGTGGGAGCCTGACCTGTCTCTGAAAGCAGAGGGGCTGGAAAAAAAGCAGTCCTGATCGCACATCCCACCGCGATGGCTGGGTGCTGTTGGGCTTCACCAAGCAGCACCCCCTGCCAGCATCCCTCTGGGAAGATGGAAGGAGGCTCTGCTGAACAGCAACAGGGCATCTCTGCTGGGTTAGACCAGCCGGTGGGTCTGGCCTGAGCCCCGAGATGCTCCCAGCCAGCAAAGGCCAGCTAGAGGGAGCCAAATAAAAAGGGAGAAGGCTGCTCTGCCTGGCTTTGCTGCCCATTAGCGAAGGCAAGCTCTGGTGCGTGGCTGGGGCTGGACCGGGAGGGTCAGGAAACCCTCGTCCTCCTTCCAGCTGCCCTGCACACTCCAGCAGCTTTGAGAAAATGAAATAGCAGTCTACGGCCTGACAGCGACGCCTGTAATGATGATAACCCAGAGGAACAACACTGCAGCTGCGGGATGGGAAACCACCCAGGGATTATTGACCCGCTGGGATTCCTCAGCTGATTCGAGCCATCAGCTCTCCCAAGTCTGTAATTACTTCCCAGGAGATGGCCTTCGCCGAGGTCATTATGGTTTGGAAAAAAATGCCCCAGCAGTTAATGCCTCGATCTCGGCTCCTCTCCTGCATCCGTGCCTGGGGAGGGGAGCGACTCAGCCCCTTCATCTCACCATGACGCGAGCCCAGCGCTCTGACAACGCCAACGCATACGCCAGCGTCGCCTCATCGACTTCAGGACGCGTCTGTCCAGAGGAAGCTGAAAGATGCTTTTCAAGCCCAAACCTGCGTGCGCCTTCCGGATGAGTTTCACGTCTCAGCCCTCCTTTAGCTTCTTAACGTGGCTTTGCTCAGCCCTCCTGTCTGTAAAGAGGGGATCAGAGCACCTCCTTCCTCCCCGGGCTGACTGAGCCGCGATTAATATTTGCAAAGCTCCTTACGCTTTTCAGGACAAAAGAGAGGTGGAGAAGTCTGCTGGGCCAGATCCAGACTGCCCCGGCTTGAGCAGAGTCCGGCCCACAGCGGAGGAGAGCTGGGGTGACCACGTCAGGGCGTGAGCTCGGGTCTGGAGGCCAGGACCATCCCAGAAAGAACCACACGCAGGTGATTTGCAGAAGCTCTACCTGTCAGCGCGAGGTTAAGTGATCCTCTGGCCTCTCTTTACCCCTTATGCCCATCACCATGGGAATCAATTCTCCTCCTATTAGGACTCCTTCGCAAACATCTCCTGCGGGTGAGAGCTGCGCGTCCTCTGGAAGGTGGCTCTGCTAGGACTCGATTCCTCTGCTGAAAGATGCTTTTCAAGCCCAAACCTGCGTGCGCCTTCCGGATGAGTTTCACGTCTCAGCCCTCCTTTAGCTTCTTAACGTGGCTTTGCTCAGCCCTCCTGTCTGTAAAGAGGGGATCAGAGCATCTCCTTCCTCCCCGGGCTGACTGAGCCGCGATTAATATTTGCAAAGCTCCTTACGCTTTTCAGGACAAAAGAGAGGTGGAGAAGTCTGCTGGGCCAGATCCAGACTGCCCCGGCTTGAGCAGAGTCCGGCCCACAGCGGAGGAGAGCTGGGGTGACCACGTCAGGGCGTGAGCTCGGGTCTGGAGGCCAGGACCATCCCAGAAAGAACCACACGCAGGTGATTTGCAGAAGCTCTACCTGTCAGCGCGAGGTTAAGTGATCCTCTGGCCTCTCTTTACCCCTTATGCCCATCACCATGGGAATCAATTCTCCTCCTATTAGGACTCCTTCGCAAACATCTCCTGCGGGTGAGAGCTGCGCGTCCTCTGGAAGGTGGCTCTGCTAGGACTCGATTCCTCTGCGGCAGCGATGGCACTGAGCTTCAGAGGTCTACATTTCCCTTTGCCTCTCCCAAATGGGACTCCAGGCCCCACTTTCCAGCCCTCCATCGAAACGCCTCGTGGATTCACACACGCTTTCATCCAAAATACTACAAAGGCAATAAAGCCTTTACTGCTTAATGCACTTTGCTGGACTAACTGGGGATGCTCACTGCAGCCCTGCAGATCTGCAGCCTGGGAGCCACTGCTCTGCACTGCCATGATGTCCCCTGTGTTTGGAGGAGCCTCGGAGGTCCAGCATTTGTCCAGCCAGGAGCTCCCAGCCCATAGGTTTGGGCTTTGCTCCATGGGGAGCATCACACAGCACCTCATGCCCTGAATGTGCCTTTCCCCACCGCCCTGGCAGCGATTCTTACCACGCCTGAGCCTCGCTTCATCCAGACGATAGTGAGAGACGGGTTCCCAGTCCAGGCACAGTTGAAAACTGCGTCTGAACCCAGGTCAACGAGGAGGGACTGCGGTTCTGTCGCCATCCTGGGCCCAACTGCACAGAGGAGACCGGAGTTACTCCCAGTGATGGGCTGTGTCGACCAGAAACCCTCAGACCAAGGAGGTCACTGTGCCCAAGGAAGCAGTGGTAGGTCTTGATGGACCTACAGGTCACAGCCATGTAAGATCCCCAAATAAAGAAGAGCATGAGCCAGTTGCCTGCTGCAAACCCCAAGAACCACCACCATAAGGCAGGAGGAAACTGGGATCCCACCACCAGAGCATTTACAAAGCCTGAGCTGCAAGAGAGCCTAGCAAGGCTGGGTCACCCCGGGGAAGTCAGATCGAGCCCTTCCCGTTAATTTTCAGCAGCTCTGCTGGCCCTGCTTAGGGCTTAGCCAGTCTTAAGCTTAGCCAGTCTCAAGCTGACCGATTACTCACAGTAGACATCCACGGTCCTGCTGATGTTTGTGCTGCCCAGCGCGTTGGTGACCTCGCAGGAGATGGGCTCGAAGAAGAAGGTGTGGTCCACGATGGTTTCATAGAAGTCACCCGAAGCTTCCTTTATAACCTGGCCTTTTTTTGCCCACCTGTTGGAGAGGAAAAATCATCGTCACGGTGCTGTTTTCCGTGGCTTGCCCTGCACACGTGTGCGATGGCGGAGGTGCCGTACGGTGCCTGCTGCTGCCCTCGGCTTCAGGAGGGACGTGCACTTGTCCTCAGCATCGCCCGCTTCCCCTAGGGATTACAACCGCAGGTTTTGGAGGGGAGACGCCGAAGCGATGTGCACAGATATCCCTACTGAAACCTTCCCAAAATAACCCCAAAATTGCTATTTCCCTGTGAAAACCTGGAAAGACACCTCATTCCTTAGGATTGCGGGGCACGGGTGGGAGACCTCAGTGACAGGAGGCAAAACCCTTTCCAGCTTTCCCCCGCTTTCACTTTTGGGGCACGGGTGGGAGACCTCAGTGACAGGAGGGATGGAACATGGAGAGTGGGAATGGCAGCGCCAGGAGAACAGTCCCTTCCCAAACGCTTGCCAACCACCACTGCTGGTCTTTCCACACCAAAACTGCTAAAACCCTTTCCAGCTTTCCCCCGCTTTCACTTTTTTCTTTTTTCTTTTCCCCAATCAGAGAGAACTTTATCCCTTTAAGGCAGCTGAAATAACATTCCCCTGCGAAGCCAAGCTGGCATTTGCAACACTGCAACTTGCAAATTGTCTTGGAGAACAAGCTGTCAACTCAGCACTTGAATTAAGCCGCTGTTTGCCAAACAATGAGCAAATGTGACCTAATGGGGCACCAGCTGGCAGCCTGCCACTCCGGAGCGGGTGGGAAAGACCCGGAGATGCTGTTGGGTGGTGTGGAACTCCAGTCGCTCTTTGGGGGAAGGGAAAGAAAGTGCAGCAGGCTGGGGAAAAAAAATAAAAATATAGAAAAATCCTCCCAAACCAACCGACAGGTGAATTAGAGGGAGGAGGAGGATTCCCCTGAGGAATCTCTGCCGCTGTTGCCTTGGGGCTGCCCTCCTCTGGTGGCGCTGGATGGGTTGGGATGTTTGGGTTGGGGAAAGATGCAGGCACTGGGAGCTGGACGTGCCCCGTCAGGCTGCGCAGAGACGAGCCATGCTTCCCATGTGGGGTCGGCAGGGGGCTTTGGGAAATCTGTCCCCTTCACGGCGACCAGCATCCCAAGGTCTTCCTACGGGTCTCCTGCTCCTGCCTTTACTGCTCTCCTCTGCTCGTCCCCACCCCTCTGCTATGGGTTCCCCTTTGCTTTAATGCGAAAATTGTGCTGCCCCAAAGGCGACAACCGGAGCTAGGGAGGGTCTGTAGGCACAGGCGGCTTCCTCAGGGGCCTCTGGAGCGGGAGCGAAACGCCGGTCCGCGGCAGGCTGGAAAACGCTCCGACAGCGCCGCTAGAGCAAATTCCCCCGGTGCCTGCCGAGGTGAACCCAGCCGAATGGGGCCAGCTGGCCTGCAAGCCTTCGCCCACCATCTGATGAGACAAGCGTTTTGAAAGAGATGTATGAGCGGTACAGATGCGAGCTGATTTGTACGCACTTCCCTGCCCTCTCTTTTCATTTATCTTTGCACCTTGAACAGATGCCGACTGGCCACGACAGCTCCCCTGCCCCCCCTTCCTCCCCGGACTCCCCCTTCAATAATTAATCAGGAGATGCCGCCTTTATTTCTAGGGCTGCGCTTCATCTGTTAACGAGGGAGGATCCTCGCATGGAAAAACCAGCACAAGTGACACCTTCCCGGTGCCGATCCAAAGGTTTCAGTGGTCAGTGACGCTTTGGTGATGCCCTTCTCCTTCCAGAGGGAACTGCGACCCAAACCAAGGGGTTTGCAAGAGGTTGGCCAGCGAGGTGGACCCCAGCATCACGTTTCCCTGCCTCCTGATGGGATCTGCCTTGCCCAGATGCCTCCCTGCCTTGGGAATGATGCTGCCCATCACTGAGAGCATCTGCCA